AGCCCCGAGGGAGGAACGCTCCGTTCCCCCGCGGCTCCTCGACAGTCAGGGAGCTCGCGGGAGTGCGAGGCTTCTCCGGATCGGAGAACACAGGCGGATCGGGGGACCTGGAGTGGCCAGAAAAGAGAAGCGGCTGCGGGCAAACCCCCGCGCTCCCGCCGGGCCTGCCCCTTAAAGGAATACACGCCCCTTTCCCTCCGAGAGGAGGTGGCCTGCGCTCCAGACGCCCACACGTGGGTGGGGGCGCTGCTGGCCGGGCTGTGAAGGGGGTGCCCTGAAGGCATACACGCCCTTTCCATCCGAGAGGAGGTGGCCTGCGCTCCAGACGCCCACACGTGGGGGGGGGGGGGCAGGCTGCTGGCCGGGCTGTGAAGGGGGTGTCCTGAGCGGAGGCCTTGGGAAGGTGAGTGGGGGGTGGAGGAGCATTTGTAGAGGGGGGTCCCGTTAGGACGCTCTGGCTTACCCCAAACAGTGCGACTAAGCGGGGAGGGGGACCCCTCCCCAGCCCTCTGCACGTGGGCTATGGCCGCCCCCACCTTCGGGAGGGTGTTTTCCTTCCTGTCCCGACCAGCAGGGGGCGTGGCTGACAGTTTGCTCAGCCGAAAAGCCTTTAGGCCCCCCAGCGGTTCTCAACCTGTGGGTCGCGACCCCTTTGAGGGTCGAACGACCCTTTCACTGGGGTCGCCGAAGACCATCGGAAAACACATATATAATTACATATTGTTTTTGTGATGAATCACGATGCTTTCATTATGTTCAATTGGTAACAATGAAATTGGGGGTCACCACAACAGGAGGAACTGTATGAAAGGGTCGCGACATTAGGAAGGTTGAGAACCACTGCGGGGGGTGGGCCACGGGGTCTCCGAGCCCAGAGCCTCTTCCTAAACACGCCAAGACCTCTTGGGTGCACACGCGTGCGTGCCTGCCTGTGTGTGTTACACACGAGGGCGGGGAGCACAGCCGAGCAGAGCGGCCTCCACCGGAGGGAGGGCCAGGCCTGATGTGCAAAAGGGAGCCATTGACGGTTCCTCTGTGAGGAAGAGATGGCTGACCAAGTGTGCAGGATGGGTTGGAGGGGAGATACGTAAAACATGGGTACCAATCAGGACACTCTTGCAAGCTTCTCTGACAAGGATGCCCAGGGTCTGAGGCCTCCCATGGGCCCCGCTTTGCAAAGGTACCCTCCCTCCCTTAGTCCCCAGGAGGCCAGGGAGTCGGCCCTGTTATTGCTAAGGCCCAGAGATTTCATTATTGAACATTCCTCGGGGCCAGGCTGTCCAACCTCAGACCCCGAGGCTCCTCATCACTTCATTACGTTTAAACAAGGACCAGCCCTAGCCGGTTTGGCTCAGTGGATAGAGCATCGGCCTGTGAACTGAAGGGTCCCGGGTTCGATTCTGGTCAAAGGCACGTACTTTGATGGCGGGCTCTGGCCCCCGGTCGGAGCAGGTGCAGGAAGCAACCACTCGATGTGTCTCTCTCACATGGATGTTTCTCTGTCTCTCCCTCTCCCTTCCACTCTCTCTAAAATGTCAATGAAAAAAATATCCTCAGGTGAGGATTAACAAAAAAATGAATAACATAAACATAAACAAGGACCATATAGGAGGCCAGACTCCTGGGAGAGGCAGGCCCACAGGCCTGGGTGCTGACAGCCACAGGTGTGGGGAGAGGGATGGACCGCCTGGAAGGCCAGCTTGGTGACAGCAAAGTGAGTTTAAGGCCCCCGGGCGGGGCAGGGCTGACCAGCAGGTGGGAGTTGGGGGCAGGATATGCTCCCTGGAGGGAGGCCCGTGGCCAGCAACCATTCGGAAAGACTGGCTCCAGGCCAACTGGGGTGGCTCTGAAGTTGAGCGTCGGCCCATGAACCAGGAGGTCAGGGTTTGATTCCTGGTCAGGGCACGTGCCTGGGTTGCAGGCTTGATCCCCAGTAGGGAGCATGCAGGGGGCAGCCCATCCATGATTCTCTCTCATCACTGATGTTTCTCTCTCCCCCTCCCTCTTCTCTGAAATCAGTGGCTCCAAACCCAATCCAGAGCGACACAGGAAGGAGTGGGTGGGCCAGGGGACCCCCAGCGGAGGGGAGCCCAACCCCAGTTCATCTGGAGCCCTCGACC